AGAGAGAGAGAGAGAGAGAGAGAGAGAGAGAGAGAGAGAGAGAGAGAGAGAGAGTGTGTGTGTGTGTGTGTGTGTGTGTGTGTGTGTGTGTGTGTGTATCAGCTTCATGGAGTCCCGAAAGTCCATTAAAGTTTTCTCTTCTATTTTTAAACTCTTTTTTTTTTCTCCTTACTGAGTCACTTTCAATGACTTGTCTTTGGATTTACTGATCCTTTCTTTTGCTTAGTCTAGTCTACTTTTGAACTCCTCTAGTAAATTTCAGTTCAATTACTGTGTTCTTCAGCTCCATGATTTCTGTTTGGCAATTTTTAACATTTTATCTCTTTGTTGAGATTCTCACTTTGTTCATGTATTGGCTCATGACTTGACTGAGAATCTTTGTGACAGCTATTTTGAATTCTGTACAGGAAAATCATATAATGTTTCATTAGTGTTTGTTTCTGAAGATTTATACTGTTCCTTTACCTGGAACATGTTTGGTTATTCATGTTCCTTGATGATCTGTGTTGGTATTTCTGCATTAGAATAGTCACAACCTGGACTCCTTCGGAAGGCCCCATCAATACAGCAACCTGCTGGGTCCTCTATCAATTCTTTCCCTCCCTAGAGAAAAGCAGATTGCTGTATTTTTTGTCTGCTCACTTTGTGCTGAGTCATGGGAGGGAAGAAATTGTTTCTACCAGCTCAAAGCATTGTCTTCATTCTCTCCTAGGTAGCTAGACTGGACTGGACCCATCAGAGCTCCAAGACTGTCAGGACAGCTGCCAATGTGGGGGGAATCCTCAAAGGAGTTGGGATGTTGAACACATAAGCCAATCTCTTCTTTGGCTGGAGAAGATAGTGGGAGCTAAGGGATCTCTCCCTGATTATATGGTGCTGTGGAGAAGGTAGTGATTCTGGTGAGATGTTCTGAGTCTCTCTATCAGCTTCTGTGCCATCTGGTTTCACATTTTCCCAGAACATAGGAGCCTTTCAATTAGTTTCTGTGTTTCTCACAAAAGGAATTTGTTCATGATGCAGAATCACTGCATTTGGAAACCCATTACGTCTCACTGTTTCTTTTCATCACTCACTGAAACAAGAAAACTGCTAATTACATATTATATTCTAAACAGGAATGACGTTAAATAGAATTTCTAGGAGAGTGATGGAATGTTTCATCAGAACCACTGAGTTTCTGGTGAGATAATTATTTTATTTTTAATAACTTTTAGTAATTTAAGAACAGCCCTGTTGCCAACAGTTGGGATATCAACTTTTACTAGAAGAAAATAGTGCCCTTGAAAGTTTTAATCTTGAGAAAATTAAGAAATATTCTCACTTCAAACAAATTCAGAAAATGGATATTCTTCTACTGATCAAACTATACCTCAGAGCATGAGGATGTTTCCAATAGAGCTTCTGGTTCTAGCTTATCAAGGGTATACCTTATATGCTGCTGGATATGATGTGCTATTTATTCAGGTCTCTTGGATAGGGTACCTTCTCCCTTCTCTTCACTCCACTAGTTTAAAAACAAAAAGAAAACAAACAAAAATGTTTTTCTCACTGGGCCAATAATTGTATTTTTCTTTATAAGAAAACAAGGTTTTATTTCCCAATTAAAAAAATTTCTAATCCAACATCTTTGAAAGGTTGGATTAGGTATTCTTTCTATCTCTTTACCTGAGAACTGATTTTAATATCCAGCGGGCCACCTAGCATAAGGGTAACCATTTTGAAAGGATGGATGTGATTGTGTGGAAAAAAATGAGAAATAAATAGAAAGTTAAGAAACATTTAAGAAAGATTTCGGACATCACACAAAGTAACCCAGGACCTGACCTCTAAGTGATCAATTCATGAAGTAAAGTACAGCAACGATGGCCTTATATTCATTCACAACTTTTTGTATGAACGGCCTTTTGTAGTGAATGGCCTTTGCCACCTCTTCCATCAAGAGATGCAATCTTTTTTTCTAACTTTTAAATTGGATCTCGGTTTTATGTCTTACTTTACTCAATGGGACATTAACCAACATTCCATAAGCAAAGTCTTCAAAAGTGTGCATTGGGGCTTGCCCTTTCCTACTTGACCCTGGGACTACTTGATACTGTCAGCAAATATTGAAGATCTACATTGAGATAACACAGCTTCCTCAGCTGAGTTTTCAAACGTACGAGTGAGTCCACCCTATCCTCAGCTAACCTATCACAGCCTAGAACATCCAGCCAACCTACAGAATCATGATAAATACGTAACGTTTTAAATATCTGAGTTGTACTTTAACATAACAAAAGCTGTTACTAACCAGATGTTACGTTTACTAAGAAATCATTAGTGAGTTCCTAACACAGAGAAATTACAAATAGTAATTGGAAAATGAGGGATTTCCAAGAAAACATTCTTTCATAATGGTAAGTCTCAAATCTAACGTTGGCTGGAATTTAAAAGAAGTTTTTTAAGGTTAGAGACTCATAGAAAATCTCTCTGTAGGGCTAAAAATATGTCAGCTTTGAACACTTTTTTCATTCTTATTAGACTTGAAATTATGACCATTGATCTACCAAGAGCAATTTGTTGATAATTAGGCTTGTTGGGGAGACTTAGGATTGTAACCTACAGGGTGGGTAACAGGCCCTTTGATTCACAGAAGCCACTGCCCTAACAAGAAGAAAAAAGATGTGGCAGAAGCAGCAACTGCAAATTGTTGTATCACTAAAATCCAAGTGATATTGAACTCTTTCACAGAAAAATGACTTGCAAGCCCAAAGTTGCCCCATTCTATACTTGGTGCCATCTGCAAAGAAAAAATAGTCTTCAAGTCTATTTACCCACTCCCAAGGCATTCTGCAATACTTTTATATTCTTTTCACAAGGCACTTATTATTATTTTGCCTTTCAGGAATATTAATATTCACTCTCCCGTTGCACTTGAAGCTCCATGAGGGCAGGGTCTGTGTTTACACCTTTTTATCTCTCACAGTGCAAGGCCCAGGGAAGGTGCTTAATTATTGTTTGTAACATAAATGAGTGGAAGAGGGCAGGCTTTATGTAGCACAGGGACTAATGTTCAACTGGTTTTGTCCCCAAGGCTTGAACAAAGAACTTGGCCAATAAATGGCATCTCTTTTTTATAAAATAAGGTTTACATTACAAAAAGCCACATAATTCATAAAAATGTGTCATTTTTTCATGAAGGTGGCTACACTTTCACCAGAAATCATGACACATCCCTAATGTGTTTTCCTTTGAGTGATTTCCCTGTATTCTTTGTTATTTTCATCTCTTCTTTTGTTTGAGATGTCAGAAGGCCTGAGCAGGAGACAGAATATGATCATCTCTGGGGAAAAATTTCTCTTCCCCAGAGAGCACCTGCCAAACAAGTTACATCTCGAGGTAGATTTTTTTTTAGAAATGCAAACTAATTAAAAATAGCATTGTTTTGTCTTCAGTTGGTTAATTTAGTAAGACTACTTTTACTGTTTCAGTTGCTTATATCCCCAAAAAGAACAAAAAACCACCCTTTCCCTGATAAAATATTTATTGTTTTATATTTTAAAAGAAAGAACAAAATCAATTCTATTTTGAAAGGCACATTAAAAATGTAAGCATAAAGCACAGGGCACATTTCACAGGAGATTGGAACTGTTAACAATTTTTTTTTCAACTACCAGAAGAAATCAAATGAAGCCCATTTGCCTCTGGGGTTTTAAACATCATTATAATTTATCTTAATAATGAAGTTAAAATTAACTGAAAGAAGACAAAATGGAAAGAAAACCCCTCATGTTGCTAACACGGGTTTATTCATGGGAAAACAGATAAAAGTAATATCCTTTGGGCATACTTAAGAAATCCAAATAATCAAAACGTAGGTGACCCATGTTCAAAGTAGCACCTCACTCAGTCATTTCATGTTTATGAAAGCATAAACTACTCCATAACACATACTTTATATCCATATAGAAACATATGTTTGGAATACACACATACAGTCACACAATAAAAAATAAATGCAACCACTAGGAGAGCTTTAAAATTATATTTGAAAATATCACAAAAAAAATGATCTGCTTACCATGGAATTCTGTTTCTGTCATCACATATAACTAACTGCAAGAGCTCAGTTCTATTTCACATAAGATTCTCAAATTGTTTTTGTGGAATCTTCCTGGTGAGGAATGAAAAGACTGATGGAAAGGTCAAAGGAGGCACCTCCACTCCACAGGGGCCTCAAAATGCCTCCTTGAGCATTCTTGCTTAGACTTTCCTTCCCGTCTGAGAGAAAGAACAAAACAGGCAGAATGCACCTTGAAAAAGGACAGGGGATTTTTTTAGCCAATTAAATCATTTTCAGAAAACCAAAGCTGTCACATTGGAGATATAATGATGGTAACAATAATGAACAGCAGAGCCGAGTTACACAATAGACGATGTCATGAGTGCTTGTTTATCAGGTGGGAACGCCACTTCTCATTCCCATGCCTCTATGCTAAAGTTTAGAATTCAGTAACCTCTCTTCAAACCAGTACATTATTTTGGTTTTGATATTTAAAAAAATAAACCTGCACATTTCCAGATGAGGTATTCTAAGCTCCAAATTACGGACTGAAACTGTCGGTTCTTTTTATTTTTATTTTTGGAGAGTGGGAGAGATCACTGATGTACTATCTTAAATTTTCTTCAGTGTTTTTGAGAAACCAAATCCATTCCTAACAGAGAGATACCATTTTTTCTCCTTCTTTCCCTCTCTTTCTCTTCATCTATAACCATCACCCCTAATCATTCAGTTTCCACCATTTGTCTTTCATCCATTAATTCCGATTCCTCTAAATATTTGGCTGTTTAAATTTATACTATGTGTAGAATAATAAGGTATCAAAAAGTCACAACTAGCACATTGCCTATGTTCCAATATTTTACCGTCGATAATTTGGTCGTGTCATTAATTTTAAGTATAATTTGAGGGAACACTCAAAAAGCTACATCAGCCTGAACAGATTGCTAATACATGCACAGAAATCTTCACAAAACATACAGTCACATAATAAAACTAGAGATGACAGAGAAAACTAACATTTTGGGGGCTTGATATTTAAGGAAAGGTTATATAATACTTTTCCATTGAAAAGATAAAGAATCATGAGTGAGCAGTACAGAATAGAATATGAGATGAAAAGTCTTGGCGTCATAGAGTTCCAGTATGTATACACAATACCTGTGTGTCATCCCCAAATTAGAACAAATATGAAAGCATTTCATACCATATAGTTAGAACCTTATAGAACACAATGTATGGATTACATTCACGTATAAGAAACAGCTGAGCATAATGATTAGGTGCATAAGCTCTGAAATCACACTGCTTGGATTCTAGTCCCAGTTTTCTTCTTGCTAGCTGTGTGAACTTGCACCAATTTATAATGCTTCTTGCCATCAGTTTCATTTGTAAAATGGAGAGAATTCTACCAGTTAGGATCCAATAGGAGAGAGGAATTACATAATAACTTGAATGAGAAAACACTAAAGGATTGACTGTACAAGGGGGTTAAAGTAAAGAATCATTGGCTAATAAAAAAGCACAAGAACTCTAAAGAATATAAGAATTGCAGGTATAGGGGAAGCCTTAGGGCTGAGATTGAGCATAAAAAGAAACTGTTGTCCAGGGCTGAGATCCAGACCTTATTAGAGAGGAAGGACACATCCATGGCTCACCAGATGGCAGACAAGTTGCTGTGGTCTCTGGTTTGCGGAACTTGCTAAAAACCTACCCTCTGCAACCTACCAAAAACCTACTATCTAGAGTTCCAGAGAAAGCTGTTTACTAGGAGGTGTTCACTGAAGACGCTCCACTGTAAAATTGCACAAGAGGAGAGCCAGTGGACCCGGGTGATAGAGGAACTGAACATGCTTCAAGAGCCTGCCTAGGGTACACTGGGATCAGCAAGGAAAACTCTTCCTCCTGCGGCACTTTTCCAATGTCCTTTATTGACAAATATTAACATCATGTCAGCTGATAAAGAAAGCATATTTAAAGGGCCCCAATCTAGTTTAACAGAGCAGAAATGAAGTTTGGAGAATTTGAAGGTCTCAGAATTTGGAGCTGAGAGGCATGAACTGATAAGAAGGAGATTAATAATAATAAAATTGTTGGCAGCATTATAAGGATAAAACTTCCTGTAGAGCACTTAGCACAGATCCTGTGACACAGTAAGTGTATCTTTCATTCACTCAACAAATATTTAAGGAGTACTCACCAGGTTCCATGTACTATGTTAAGTACCAGGCATGCATTGATGAAGAAAATTGGCACAGTTCCTGTCTCAAAGAAGAGTAATGTGAGCTGTTAAACTGTACCTTTTAAAATAGTTTAGATAAATATCAGATCCATAATGTCTCTTAAGACTGTGTGTCTGTGTCTGTGTCTGTGTCTGTGTGTTTGTGTGTATGTGTGTGTGTGTGTGTGTGCGTACATAGTGGTCTGATGCAATAGTCCATAAAATTTGAAGTTATACATGGAAGAGGTGAGGAACAGAGAGTAAATTAGTGTAATACTGACTAATTCTCATCATACCTTGAGGTTACTAATACCAGTAAGCTCCACCTATCTGGAACACTGAAGAAGAAAGAATAGCCAAGTAGTGAATGGAGGAGGAGAGCAGCAGGCCTATCTTAAGATAACATTATGAAAACTCTGCACAGCTTAAGAAACATGGATTCTTCATCATTATTCATTGTTTTCTCTTGAGGTACTGATCATATCTATTAAGGATTAGAGTAAGAAATTTAAAGGAATAACTATAAATACCACCAGGGTAATATGTTTAAAGTCACTAAGAAAATTTAATGTGCAGGTCCCAACACCCAGGGACACCTTTTGTTAGTGTCAGATGGCAAATAATAAGAAAATTCCATCTGCAAATTGTAACTGGAAGATTAGCTATACTTTAAAATGGCATTGTAGTAGGCATCCACCAAAAAATTTTTGAGGTTTGGTTATAAGGTAGACACTGTATTAAATGTTGGAGATTAAATACTGAGCAAAAATGTAGTTTTCTAGGGTTGTGGTGGTGAGAAATGCAATTAATACAATGATCATGTTAATGATTATAAGGAATACCATCTCAAAGGAGTAAACAAAACACAACATGAACCAGAGTACATCACGGAAGGAGTCCCTGAAAAAATGATATTGTAACCAAGATGAGAGAGTAGCCATTAATCAGTCAGAGATGAGAAGTGGGAGTAAGAAGAGAGGAAAACACCAAAGGGGTTGGGGGTGAGAGCAGCACGATGATAGGCCCTGTATAGGAACCCTCAGGACATGCACAAAGAACCTATGAAAGACTCCAAAATGAGAGGAACAGAGTTCTATGATGGAAGCAGAGAAATTGGCAGGGTAAAATCACACAAAGAGTCATAGGCTGAGCAGATGAATTCATCATTACCTAAAAAGAAATGGAACAAAGAAAAGACATTGATAGGTTTTAAGTGTCTATGTGTGGAGAATGGGATTAGGTGACACAATATGATTTCTGTTTCATAAGCTATAATAACTTTGCATCAGAATGAAGAATGGAGAAATCCCAGAGTAGATGCACAGATTTCAAGGGAAGACAGCATCACAGGAAGGAGTCACCAGCCATGTCACATGCTGGGAGGTAAAATGAGATGAAGACTAAGTAATGTCTATTGAATTTTATGCTGTTGACTTAAATTAGAACTATTCTGGTGGAATGTCAAGAAAATAAATGAAGATTAAAGTGGGATACAGAGTGAGTTTAAAGTAAGAAAATAAAAAAGTGGGTATTGATAACTCTTCTAAGAACTGAGGTTGAATATTCCACTTGAGAATACTCATCACCCTGCTTACAGAAACAATTCCCTGGTAACTGATTCACTCTGGAAAGATAATCTTTGATCAGTGGATGGCTGGTAGATTTGAAAAATGAGACAAAGATTTTTAATTTCCATCTTCTCAAATTGACACTAATTTATTTTTCAGTATTTTTTGTTAAACTCTGAGACAACAGTCCTGAAGATCATCTCACCTCAGTGAATGAAATAAATCAAGATTGTAAGCACATTGGAGATAGGAACTATATCGACTTTATGCTGAATAAATCCTGTTGAATTGTTGACGAATACAAAAGCTAATGCAAAAACTACAAAATTGTGTTATAAAATCTTCAGTTTAAAAGGGCCTTCAAATCCATCCAGTCAATTACTTTGTCCCAGATGTCCAGCAATTAATGTATGATCTAAGAGAGAGTGTGCAAAGTTTTAGCAATAACTAATGTCATAAAGATCTCAGTACTTGGAGTGTTCTCATATAGCCCCTAGGCATCTTCACTAACAGGGAGCTTTTCCTTTCCTCAAATATTAACATTCCCTCCTCACTGTTTGCTGTTGACGCCTCTTCATTTATTGGGGGGAAATGACCAAAGAAAGCAACTCCTTTTCCCAATATCACATCTAGGAACCAAGAAGGACCTGTCTCCATCAATTCTGTTTACCTCCTATCTGAACTGTGGATCTGTTCATCCCCCTTTCCAAGGCCAATTCCTCCAATTGTGTCTGTGGTCTCATTCCCTCTCATACACAAGAAACACATCTTCTCTCCCTCTTGCATGATTATTCTTCCCCTTCTTTACAAAAGCATTTCTAATCACATACAAATATGACATAACATTTCCTATTTCTAAAAAATTTTCCCTTGACTCTCTCACGCTTTTTGTTACCTACTCCATTTTATAGTGAAAATTCCTGAAAGAATTGCAGATGCACACTTTTTCAATTCCCTTACCTCCAATTTTCTCTTTAACATTCTGATCCCACCCTAATCAAAATTGCTTTTTTGTAGTCACAACAAATGCATCTTGCCAAATCCAGTGCCTACTTCTATCTTGATTATTCTGGTATTCTCAATACAATATTTGACATAGTGGCCACATTTTTCTTCCTAAAAAACTTTCTTTGCTTGGTTTCAAGAATATCATGCACATGTGGAATTTTCCCTATTCACTGAATATCTCTGAAGAATCCCCTTTCTCTTTATGTTACAGTACCCATGACTTAATCCAAAAATATTTATATCTTAGCAAAATAATCTCACTCAAAGCAATAACTTTAAATGTTCTGTATGTGCTGAAGGCCTGCGCATGTTTATCACCAGTACTTTATTCTCTGAGTTGCAAATTCATTTATATAATGACCTACTTTATGTTTAAATAACTGTTAGGGAGTTCAAAAAGAGAATTATTGACTTCTCACACCTGAACCACAAATCTGCTTCTTTCCGTGTCTTTTTTATTTCAAGAACTGAAACTATCTACCTCTACCATTTGCTCAAATCAAAATTTGAGAGAAATCTTTTTTTCTTATTCTCCCATACAGACTCCATCAGCAACTCT